ATAAATAAAGTCCTAGAAAATAATTTTTCTGTAACATTTTCTAGAAATTTTTCATTGGTTTGAGTAATTTAAATAGGCCGATTGGGGGACCGATTAGCTAAATTTTCTCCATCGGTCCCTAATCGGCCCCATCTGAATTACTCAAAAATTAATGCAAAACCTGATAAACCTCTATTAAAAAATGTTAGATAAAAATTACTTTTTTTATAACGATAACTTTACTTATTAGATGAATACCAGTTAAAAATGCCAATTTTTACAAATCTTGCTCAAAGTCGGCTGACAATACTGTGAGACCGATTAACATTTTCATGAAACACAAACTCACATTCGTAGAAATTTAACCAAAAAGAGGGATCATCCGGATGATATGCTCCGGACTATTATAAAATGAATCCAGAACGAGAATGATTCAATTATACCTCTCAATATACAATATGTCTTTCGATAATGGGATCAATTTCAAATATCCCTTACAGCGTCGCGATTACGATTTTCAAGATCTTGAATTTAGTATCATCGTAACTCCAACTAAAATTGACCCCGATATCAAAGATGATGATCCAGCTGAAAACCCTGGAGCATTTCGAGCAACTATATCTTTTACAAAAGGTGAACCTCGCGAAGACTGTAAAATTCCAGAAGGAATTGGATGTATCGACGTTACAGACACGGAAAAAAGTTTAGATATCGAGCCTATTATGGGTTCTTACTTTAGTATAAAACTCTCTCGCAACTACGATATAATTCATAATGAACTGAAAATCTTATCGCTGAGAAAAGAGTTGGGCCGTTGGCGAGTTAGTAACTATCAAAAAACTGAAAGTAGAAAGCTATTTGAAAAAAATAGAAAATTTCTTAAAGCAACCGAAGTTGTAAATAGAAATCAGCTTAAACTTACAACTTTCTTTCCATTACACATAAAAAGAGAAGACGATGATGATGATGATGTAATGATGACCTAAAAATATTTTTTTCCATTCTTTTTTTAAATATCAATCATATTAGAGTTTTTTTTATTCCTCACGGAAACTTGATTCTTATGGATTGTTTATTAAATCTTATTTAAAAAAACACTATTTTTGATTACCTATTTATAAATTAATAATAAATTCGAATTTTATAAGAGTAGGTTGTTTGTACATATATAATTTACTTTAAAATGTAAAAAAAAAAAAAAATTGTTACGCTTTTAAGTTTATTAGCCATTGATCACCTTTTTGTAAGTTTTTTCTGTTTATTAAGGTTTCTTTTTATTGAGGCAAATAAATGACATTCTTTACTCGGTTTGTTTCGACAAAGAGATCAAAATGGGTGCTTATTGATGAAGATTCCGGTAATGCCTGTGGATTGTGTTAATTTTACGTTTTCTTTTAAAAGATATATTACCAGAATGAAGTTTGTACAATATAAGCCCAAAATCGTTATTCAAAAAAAAAAAAAATCCTGTGTAATTATTTATTCAGTCCCTTGCATATCTTATAAAACTATAATATGTTAAGTACCATACTTCAATATATACTTTACTGTGTATCTTATAAACATAATGTAAATATGTTTATTACACAATTTTCTTTTTACCGTTAAGTCTGTAAGTACTAAAACTACCATACACGTGTACTTTATTTTTCACACATTACCCGTTACTCAACTTCATTTCATAACGATAATGCATTACAAAAAAAGAAAGACGTTTAGTTTAAATCAAACTATTTGCTTCCTTTATGTCTCAAGACAAATAGCATTACGATACCGATACCAAATAATACTGCAAGAACCGTAATTGGAATTTCCAGCGTCAATTATATATCGATATCGATATGACCAACTAACACATCCTCTTCGTTTACTTCCGTTCATGGTATTTGAATGTTAAGTGTATAGTGATAAAGTAAGATTTTTTTTTTTTTAGTTTGTCATCGATAAAAGATTATACAATGTTCAGGCATAATTATAACGATGGGAAGTTACACGGATAAATCCAAATTTTGTTATTCTCCAACTTTTTAGAATCCGATTTTTTATCGAGATTATCGGTTTTAAAAATTATCTGAGGACTACATAAACAGCATTATTGTTATATGCAAAAAGAAAAATAATAATAATAAACAGAATCGATATTTTGGTAATTCATTCAAATGTTCTGTACGTAGCTCCATTGAGAATTATAAAACTAGCATATGCATGATAATATTGCTCACGACTTGTGATTCAATAAAGTCTGATGTGGATAAAACCAAATCTATAAAAAATGTCTTGTGCATTAGTGCATTGTAGTACAAGCACTCAATCTCCGATTGCGACCTCCATAATGTATTTTACTAAAACTTAAAGCTTGGCGTTTAATCTAATAAACCAATTTAGAGTATTAATCACAGATTATTACAAATGAATGCGTGAGAGTGTAAATCATTATACGCAGCTGTAGGTTTTCACTCTCACGCACTCAAATAATAAAGGTATTATATACATGTACGCTTTTAATAATTCGATATTAAAAGTAACGCTAATAAATTTCGAGGTTTATTATAGAAACAAAATTATCGAAAATTTCATCTGGTGCTATTGACTGTGTATACGTACCGTAATTTATCATAAATCACATAATTATTGTAGAATTCTTTATAGTAGACTTGGATCTGTAACCAAAGGCGAAAGCACACGACTCTGTGTTCAATATATTAAACTATTTCAGGCACCAGATAGATCAACAGTAGAACGTTCTATGATCGACTCGAGGTTTCCCAAATATAGGACTGATGACATTATCGTAAATCAGTGTTATGTCTAAATAAATTAAAGATTAATACGACGTTACCAAAAAAAAAGTATATATATAGTTTAAAATTGCTATATAATTGTTCGACAGTTATATAAAAAAGTCACAAGGGTGTTAGCGAATAGTATTCATCGTATATATTTTGATATTTATGTACACTTGGTTGCATGTTTATTTATAAAATAATCTATAGAGAAAAGCCATCTGTAAATAATTATACGTATGGAAAGTCGAAATAACCTTGTATATAATTACTTCAAAACTATGAAAAAAGTACGCTTTTAAGTTAGTAACCATTGATCTCCTTTTTTTAAGATCTTTATTGAAGTTTCTTTTGATTGAGGCAAATACGTAAATATTTACTCTTTTTTTGTTTCTACAAAAAGAAATAATTGTTCAGAATAAATGTTTATTTACGATTACGTATGCGGTAAGAGAAGTTTGTATAAGCACAAAATCGGCAAAAAAAAAATCTTAAATTTTGCATAATTATTTATCCTGTCTCTAATATTTCATAACATAGGTACACATAAACACCAGTATAAACTATATATATTTATTGATTACAGTAAATTAAAAATCTTTCGAATTTAATAGTTTTATACATAATAATTATCCGACAGTCATATAATAGCAAGTTATTGTTATCTTACCATTTTATTACAACATTATATTATAACATTATATTATAACATTATATTATAACATTATATTATAACATTATATTATAACATTATATATATTATAACATTATATTATAACATTATATATATTATAACATTATATTATAACATTATATTATTATATACATAGAGAACACGTGTACTTTAATGCACTATTAATTTGAATAGATTTTTTCTCATCAAGGTTGCCATTGGCGTTTGTGTTTTTTATATATTTAAAATTAAAAAGTGGCCTGTAACTTATAAAATATGAAGCCCCATAATAATTTAAACTAGCAAAAGCTTTCTATAAAGGTTTATATTACTAGATATAATTATTGTAAATAAACTAAAATGTCTTTTTTGTCGGGGGTCTCCGCATATTTAATTATAATCGTCATCGTTAAGAATCTACGTAATTGATAAACTATAAAAAATCTCCAAGTTTTCTTTTTTTTTTTTTTTTCTAAAGGTGAAAGCCTTGAGAATTTTAAAATTACCAATATGAGTCAACCTCAACCTTTAATACCTCAAGACGCTGATATTCCTGTAAATTCGTCCTTCGATAATCTCACTGCTGAACAAAAATATGAAAATTTAACTAAGGGTACAACAGATTTGTTCAATAGTGCACAAAAAACAGAAAATCAGACAGTTTCTCAACTTCCGACCATTATTATTTCTGGATCATCTTTTTGTTAAACAAAAATTATGATTTTTTTCTAAATATTTTTTCATTAAAAAAAAAAAAACTCTTTTTATTTTTTTATTTTACTTTAT